TATATTAGACGTGATTTATTGATGAATTAAGCAAAAATTTTCAACAAAAGTTCGATTTTAGTTCATATACGTGGGTGGATTTTGACCGTAAAAACGTAAAAAACACCATAAATAATAATTGTTTGGCAAAAATAAAGCAAGCGGGAGCTCTTTATATCATTTATTGTTTAATCTATATCATCAGTTATCATTTATCGATGAATTAAGCAAAAATATTTGGCCGAAGTTCGATTTCGGTTCCCAAAAACAATCGACAGGTAGCTATACATGGGTTATTTTTGGGAACCGAAATCGAACATTAGGACAAATTTTTTCTTAATTCGCCAGTAAATGATAACTGATATGGATAATTGATTAATAAATGATAAGAACTAGCTGAGGCTTGCTTTATTTTTGTAAAAAAATAGGTATTTATTCTGTTATTAAAGTTTTTCGGATAAAATCGACCCACGTATATGAACCAAAATAGAACGATTCGAGCAGTTAAACAAAAATTTTCAACTTGATTCGTTCGATTTTGGTTCAGATACGTGGGTCGATTTTATCCGAAAAACCTTAATAACAGAATAAATACCTATTTTTTTACAAAAATAAAGCAAGCCACAGCTAGTTCTTATCATTTATTAATCAATTATCCATATCGGTTATCATTTACTAATAAATTAACGAAAATTTTGTCCTAATGTTCGATTTCGGTTCCCAAAAATAACCCATGTATAGCTACCTGTCGATTGTTTTTGGGAACCGAAATCGAACTTCTGCCAAATACTTTTGCTCATTTCATCGATAGATGATAACTGATGATATAGATAAACCAATAAATGATATAAAGAGCCCCCGCTGGCTTTATTTTTGTCAGGAAATAATTATTTGTGGTGTTTTTTTAGGTTTTTTTCGGTAACGGTCGACCCACGTATAGGAATGAAAATCGAACTTTGGCAGAATAGTTTTGCTTAATTCTTCGATACATCACATCCATTATCAAAGATTAATTAATAAATGATCTAAATATGCCCTCGTATGCTTTATTTTTGCCAAATTATCAAATTTTATTGTCGTCTGTTGATTCATATACATGGGTCGATTTTAGCTGAAAAACACGTAAAAAAGAGCATTAAATATCATTTCTTGATAAAAATAAGACAAGCGAGAACTAAAACGTTTTATTTATTAATTAATCACCGATATCAGTTATCATTTATTGATGAATTAAACAAATAAGTTCAACAATTGTTTAGTTTTGATTTCCGAAAACAATTTACAGGGAGCTATAACTTGGGTCAATTTTAACAAAATAAAACGCAATACGGGCAATAAATTTCTGTTTTTTAGTTAAAATAAAGGTAACGAAAACGTATGTAGATCATTTATTGAATAATCTTTGATATTAGATGGGATTTATTGATTTATTCTAATGTAAACTGTAATATAGTTGCAATCTATTGAGCTTAACGTTTGACTACCAACCATTAGATGTCGCTTCGGTACGTCAAATACATAGGTCACTCCATAATTTTCTTCTATAATACAAGGGACAATCGGAACGTCCTAATAGTGATGACTTATTTTACAAGATTTATTTTCAATATTCTAATAATCTGGAATTTCGACACATGTATGGATGTATAAATAATGAAGAGTGCTGTATTACATACATACATAGACACAACAAGGTTTTCGAAGTTCGAAGTTGGCTTTTATAAATGTTAAATGAGTCTGAAATTTAGTTTTTGTTCAGATGACATTAAATAGCACTTCTAATAATCTACTATTTTCGGCAAAATGTGACTTAATATTAAAAAAAGAGTAATAAAATATTTCAATTTTGGGAGCAGAACGGTCTAGGCAACCAGCGTCACAGAAACGTATGTATGGTTGCATAATGTGCAAGACGTCGAATGTTGAATATAAAAGAAAAGATATTTTGAGAAAACACGATAAAACGTCACCATTTACAATTACAAACAAAAACAATTTATTGATGAACTAAACAAAAATTTTCTGCAAATGTTCGATTTTAGTTCTTATATATGGGTCGGCTTTGATCGAAAAAAACGTCAAAAACACCACAAATAATTATTTCCTGACAAAAATAAAGCCAGCGGGGGCTCTTTATATCATTTATTGGTTTATCTATATCATCAGTTATCATCTATCGATGAAATGAGCAAAAGTATTTGGCAGAAGTTCGATTTCGGTTCCCAAAAACAATCGACAGGTAGCTATACATGGGTTATTTTTGGGAACCGAAATCGAACATTAGGACAAAATTTTCGTTAATTTATTAGTAAATGATAACCGATATGGATAATTGATTAATAAATGATAAGAACTAGCTGTGGCTTGCTTTATTTTTGTAAAAAAATAGGTATTTATTCTGTTATTAAGGTTTTTCGGATAAAATCGACCCACGTATCTGAACCAAAATCGAACGAATCAAGTTGAAAATTTTTGTTTAACTGCTCGAATCGTTCTATTTTGGTTCATATACGTGGGTCGATTTTATCCGAAAAACTTTAATAACAGAATAAATACCTATTTTTTTACAAAAATAAAGCAAGCCTCAGCTAGTTCTTATCATTTATTAATCAATTATCCATATCAGTTATCATTTACTGGCGAATTAAGAAAAAATTTGTCCTAATGTTCGATTTCGGTTCCCAAAAATAACCCATGTATAGCTACCTGTCGATTGTTTTTGGGAACCGAAATCGAACTTCGGCCAAATATTTTTGCTTAATTCATCGATAAATGATAACTGATGATATAGATTAAACAATAAATGATATAAAGAGCTCCCGCTTGCTTTATTTTTGCCAAACAATTATTATTTATGGTGTTTTTTACGTTTTTACGGTCAAAATCCACCCACGTATATGAACTAAAATCGAACTTTTGTTGAAAATTTTTGCTTAATTCATCAATAAATCACGTCTAATATA